TTGGTATCGAGAAAACCTGTGGCCTACTAATGATGATGTAATCTGTGTCATCATTATTCATAAAATAGACCTATGTAGATTATCGAATTAAAAAGCGATATCAACGAACACAAATGAGAAGATAATCTCTACCACGTCACTACTTAACAATCAGTGAATTGTTCAATGATTCATCCGTGACAATTCCCGCTAATGGGTGTAGACAATTCCAACCATCAATTTATGATCAGTTTCCATTTGCAATATTAGGCCTAGCCCTACTCTTGCAAATTGGCCTTGATGTTTTACCGGATGTGACGCCAGTGCGGGCTTGATGTGCCTGGGAACCAGATACCCTAAGCATACAGTGAAAGTTCAATAAATAACAATTTATAAATGAAAGTTTATAAAAAGTACCATCTCACAGTTCAAAGTTAGCTTATATAATCATTAAGTATTATCAATTATTAATTCATTTTTTAAAGAATTTAATCAATATGACACAATAATTTACATAAAAATTAAATCAATTATAATATACAACTTTAAAAAAGCCAACTTCATTCTTTGATGATCGAACTATTAGTTAATGATTGTTTATAATTTCTATATATTGTTTTTCTTAATTTTCTTTATTGATTTTAATGAGGGTTTCTAGTAGATTTAGCTATACTCGGTAGCAAATGCTGTTATCCGTGAGCAGCATCTAGTTATTACATTATTATTTCATTATTAAATGTCCAAAATCAAATATAATAATAAATAATAATATAACATTTAATTGTATTAACATCATCCAATGAGTGTTAGGCTATGTCTCTATTTGTTATGCCAGATCTCATGTACAAAATTTATTATTAATTTGGCTACCGCACCTGGACTGGATTTAAGGGATTTAAATGATACCAATCGGATATATACATGTATAATATATATGTGTATGTATATATATGGTAATCAAATTATGTTTGCTGCATAGCACAATAGACACAATAAACCCATAGATAAATAATAACAGTACACGTTCCTATTCAAGCACTGCAGTGCTATTAATATGCTATTATCATGTAGGCCTATATATATATTTGTTTATAATAATAGGCCTAAAAATAAAATTCATATTCTGAATTTATCGTTCTCGAAGTATTACCTAAAAACAAAAACAAAACATTTTAATAAGTTATTGTAACAGGTACAACAAAACGAGACGTAAACTTACAAGACCGTTAGCATTTACAATCCTACAGTATAGGATTTGTGGTTTAACAATAAAACGATGGGTCTATGCTATGGCTCTACGTAAATCCGTCTATACTAGGCCTATCTGTAAACCAAACACTGCGATTGCCCTGTTGAATCACATCGTTCAGGTGGCCCAAATTGGTGTCTGGCCAGCCAAATATTAAATAACGAAATACCGATATATTAAATATATTCTTGAATTTTCAGCCAGAGATCCATAAGGACAGTGAAAGAGAGCATAGTCAACGATATAACTAATTCAGGAAAAGCCGTTATTTTATTATACAGCTCTCCCTCCGGAAATTGGGCTCTACCTTGCTTCGCCAATAGATCATTCCAAGTGAATGAGGTCATACTTAGTGGTGTTCTATTGTTCGCATTCGTGTAGCGAGAATTGACATTCCGATCAGAGCTAGACCGTTTCTTGCGTATGGTTACCACGGAGATATGAAATGGCCTAGGCAAATATTTCCCTAAACATCCGTCAGCATTAGTAATTTAATCTTCATCAATATCAAACAAACACATAACAGATAGGCCTATCATGTGAATGGAATTGCTAATATGCTGGGGCTACATTATGTGATATACCAGTCTCGTCATGATGGTTACACGGATGCTTTCAGATCCGGCCTTAAATAGGCCTATTCGACTTGATGACATTGAAACAAAAGCATATTTATTTAATTTTTCTCAATGCATTTGAATGAAATAATTAAATTAATTAATTACATTAGTCGAATATAAAATGTTAACCTAATTTATTATTTAATGATGACGATACAATAATAATATATGATTATGATGATAATTTAAATTTTAATGTTAGGTCAGTTGTCATATTACTAATAGGCCTAATACTGTTAAGGATGATAATGAAGAGGAGGAGAATGTCGATGACAATGACGATGAAGATGACGATCAGTGGCGACACTATAAGTGGGGGGGGGGAGCGGGGTCCGAGGAGACAATCCTCCTCCCCGTCGGACCGGTCTGGACCCCCGTCGTGACGCCACGAGGTCGTCGGACCAAAAAAAAAAAATAATAATAATTTGCCTATCCAAAAATAACGTTACTTTGATTTCCAATTCCTAAAGTTATGGCCTCAAGTTTAGGCATACTGATCCATAAAAATCCATTAATCCTACCAGAGATTTTTTATCCCGGGACCCTGATCGAGGCCTCTAGTCGGCCCATCGGCAAAATTCGGGAACCACTGATAACGATAACGACGATGATGTGATATGATTATGATGATCATCATAATGATAATAATGACGATGATGACAATACAATAAGATAGGCATGAACATTATGATATAAGAGATGGATAGCTATTCTTTATTCCAAATTTGTTAAAATCCGCCGATCACAAATTGGGACTTGTCAGGTCGCCATGAAGTGAATAATTAATTAGGCCTAACTTATTTGGTTGGCAGTATATTCTATGCTTCGATTAGAGCAGCTATAGGCCCTATTAGTTAAATTTATAGGCCCTATATCTCTGCTATTAAATTTCCCGTCGATTTATATCAGCCGGTATTGGCAAACAATAGAAAATGTTCTTAATATCTGTTTTTACTGGTTAATCTGCTCCATTCCAAGTTATTTTTGACATCAAATGGAGTTCGTGTAAATGGATAAAAGAAAACACACGTAAGTCATTTCTAAAGAATATTTAGCTCTTTAATAATTTCTGTGTTGAATCAAATGCAGTATACAAAACTTAAATAAGGGCATTAGAAGTACAGTAACACGGTATACCCTTGTATTTTACTTGTAAGTTTTGTCCATAGCCTGACTTGTTTGTCACGGCGAAACACACCAATTTCTGGCGATATCAGTCAATATTCAAATCATAGTGGACGTCAAGATACATTAAATTTTCTTTTTATATTGAAATTACTTTTACAATGTTGGTATTGTAAACTGAACATGATTGATTGAAAAGTATTAATAATTCAAATAAGTTGATCACGTTTTTGCGACGAAACGAGTGGTGATTACATCTCGTAACGTGTAATAAATCAGGCTCGTAATCATAACATTATACATCAGGAAAAACATCATTGTTATTGTATTTCTTTGATAATAATAATAATAATAATAATAATAATAATAATAATAATAATAATAATAATAATAATAATAATAATAATGTATTAATAATAATTGTTATAATAAGATCATGTTTACATTTATCGTAATTGTTTTTAATTGCTATCAATGACAATTATTAACAACATGCAAATCAAAAATGCTACAACCGGCATAATCGGAACACAACCATTAGGTATATTAAACCAGGCTCCGGAGGAATTTTTCTAGGGCTAGGCCTATGCTGTACAACTGATTTTTAAAACTATATTTGACAAAAACTCGAGAGCAGTTTCAGTTTCAGTTTTATTGTTTTCACACAGTTAATGAGATACAGATTTTTGACTATTTAAAAACTGGGGGAAAAGGTGTAAAAAGGGTGGTACACTCCTTTCCCCCAGTTTTTAAATATTCAAAATTCTGAATCTCCTGGGGCGGATGCAGGATTTGGAGGTAGGGGTGCATGAAAGTTGACAGCACCTCACCATGGTTGGGGCTGAGGTGCGAACATTTTGAGAACATGAACGTTTACGTGCCTGGAAATTGCACTCTCATACCTTAAAAACCGGTAGTTCATATCAACAATACAATACAACTATTTTTTCTTAATTCAATTTAGGGGGTGCGATCGCTCCGTCTGCGCACCCCCCCCCCCCCCCCCCCCCCCCACACATCTAGATGTGTATAAGAGACAGCCCCTTGGTTCATGATACTGTAATCCCGCTGGTTCCAAGCAATTATTAAATAGGTCTACCTACTGTATATTTAATTCTGCACTAGTAGTCATAAGGCATACTGATAATACTATAGACCGTAATAATAATAATAATAATAATAATAATAATAATAATAATAAATTATGATAATAGGCCTAATAATAATTATATTAATATTAATATTATTAATAATAATAATAATAATAATAATAATAATAATAATAATAATAATAATAATAATAATAATAATAATAAAATGATATAATTGTAACAATAGGCCTACCTATTAATATAGGCCCCCCTATGAGAAAAAAAATAAGGGATGCACGAAGAACACTAATGATATCGTTGCTTATGTTTCAAATCCTTCTTGCAAATGAAATCTATATAGGCCTAGGCATTTAATTTATACAATGAAATAGGCTACAGTATCATTAATCATTTTAAATTGCAAATAATTGTTAACGATTTGCCAGTAGCCTAATTATTGTCAATCAATCATTAATTGAAAACAAAATGTTCAATAAATTATTTTACCAATTCTAGAATCGTTAATAGCTTATACGGTAGGCCCGCATAGCGAAAAAACTAATTGATTCTGTTCAATGTAAATAAATTACAAATACATATTCAAAAGAATGTTTAACGACGTGTTTGATTCATAGTAGAGATAAAAACAATTCGCTATTTATGCTTGATATATCCGACCTTCGTTCTGTACTTAAAAAACTACGTCAGTTGTGCTAGTAGATTATAGCTAGGTCTTCCATTACTGTAAAGACCGTAGCAAAGAACACATATTTCTATAACAAAAATATATTTATTTCAGATTTCAATTCAGTTATAAGTTGACTGCAATTAAAGGTAGCACGCGAATGACCGTGGTGCTTCTGATCATTTGTAATTCTCCTTACCTTTGTCGCTTAGTCTGGTCCCACCCCCTGTGGAGCCTTGGTGGTGCTTGCAAGCTTTCCACAGTTTGCATTCCACGTTTCATTCCTCACATAGTTTACGAAAGACGCTTGGAACGCCAAAAATCTTTGTTAAAAAGCTGATTTCTGACGTAGATTTTCGATTTTTTGATTACCATTTAGTGCCTTGGGTTTTCATATTATTATTTGGTGAGTATGATATTTTAGGTTATCTTTTGCAAAAATCTTAAGACAGTTTTGTAGTCGAAACTTCTCCTGGAATCTCGCATCACTGACATACTTGTCATTTTTCAACTCCACACTTCCGGAGTTGATTAGAATTATTTTTGGAGGCAGCTACAAATTCATTTTTAAGATAGTTCTACCAGCGATAACACATTCTTAGAAATAGCATGGAAGCCATTGCGTTTCGCACAATATTATCGGAACTTTTTCTTCCGATAGATTACTACCGGATGGTTTGGGCGGGAGGCGAACATGGTTAATCGTTAGTTTTTTTTTGGACACGGACATGTAGGCTCTCTAAACCCCGTTATTGTCACGAACGCACGGCAGTATTTTGATTGGCGCTCAAATCGCGTATGCGATGCTTGGTTGGATTCTGCTATCATCGTGTTTTTAACCAACCGTGATTCGATAGGCCTAGGGATATTAATGGTGGACCTCAAGCAGGTCCAAGACTCTCAAATATCGTTTCTCCCATATTAGGTCGCCTTCCACTATAAGCTCTTCTTGTTTTGATTGTCATCAATTGAAGCTCGTCTGATTGGAATTCTGTTGAGAATCTCTCATCAGATGCTTAGCAACCATGTTTGTAAGCAAATACTGAAGCTAGGCCTAGGCTAAGGCTTGCAGGCAAAATGATTATAGATGCGTATGCTGATGCTACAGCATACTTTATACATGAGCTGAAATTAAAAATGATTTATTCAAACCAAATCAATTTATGAATAAACAGCTACAATTATGCCTGTGAATTTAAGGTTATATTTTCATGAAATAGATAATATATAGGCCTAAACAAAATATTATGAACAATATTTTGGGCCTTTTTTTGCAACTGCTACAGACAGTAGGCCTATTATTTTTTTCTTGAACACCCTTGAAGAAGTGTAGGCCTAATGTAACGATGTGAAATAGCTGATACCACATGCACAATTGGTTTTATTTTTGTAGTACATTTTTTCCCCATTTTTTTATCTATCTAGTTGGGCCAAAGCATTCTTTGGAAAAAAAAACAACTAATGAATTGAACAATAATTATGATCAATAGTAATAATGATAATAGTAATAGTGTAGATAAGTATAGTGCCAAATCTATCTAACATAAGAACAGTGGACAAATGATTCCTTCTGTTCAGCTCTGGGAAGAAAAATTGACACTTTACCCCTGTAACATTTTTGACTACCCTGGGAAGATGAGAATTATTAATATAAAGTAGAGTAAAGCCATATTCCTGTTGTTGAATGAATGCATTGTATTTTGTGATAGAGCTTGTGTTCTAGCATAATTATGTTTTTGTAATCAAGATTGGAAGACTACCAGACTAGTCATTTTATCAGATTGCCAATTGAAAATTTACATTACTTAATATCCACCATCATCTTTGAATATAAAATACCAATATCTATATATTAATACAGTACACTATAGTGAAAACATTTAAAATCGCCTAATCCGGTCCCTACAAGTAAGTTTTATAATTATTAGATTATATTTGTAAAATGTATATAACTGAATGACATAAATTTTTTAGATTTTCTAGGGATTTCACATATTTTGATCAAATAATTAAATAATATTTGGAAATATTAAGGAATAAATATAACATTAAATAATTTTCTGGCATTTATGATGGATACAAACATTAAAATGACTTATGTCTATGCATTACAGTAGGTTGAATACAAACCAGCTTAAAGAGTTTACTAATTGTAAAACACTATGTTCATACTTCTGAATTGATAAATATTTTAAAAATCCCATTAGACCTATAATGATTATAGCATATGATGTGTTTTAACATCCTCTATAGTATCACAGTATTTTTTTTCTTGCTTGAAAGTATCTGTTCAAATCATACTGTACATAGCCAACAGGTAAAGGGACATTTTCAATTATTTTATCATGAAGAATCACACAATTAAAAAAGAAGGCCCAAACTTAGAACTATCACCATGGTTACTGACATCACTTGGGTACAGTATATTGGTTAATGTACACAAGTGTAATAACTTACTGTATAGGATTGTTGTCAGTTGCAGTGGTGCCAGAGTACCCCCACAGAGACCCTTCAAAATAACATAAGTTCATTTGAAACTAAAAATAGGCACTCAAACTAATTTTAAAAATTGCCAAATGAAACATGTAAAAGCTTATAAGTAGGGGGCCTACAGACTTGAATGCCATTTGTAAGCATCTACTGTGAAGGTGCTTATTCTTAAAATTTACTCAAACTTGGTGGGAACTTCTCTCATGAATGGTCTTGAACCCCTTGCTGGCGAATCTGTGGCACTGCTACTGGTCAGTTGTGCTACTGTATGTACATCTGTATCTGCTGTATCTACCATCGTTAAAGCATTATAAAAAGAATGATTGTTAACCCATTGCATAGCTAAAGTTACATGTAAGGGTCATTCACAATTATTAAAATTTTCACAAGTGTACAAACAGTACTTGTTTTCGGTACCCCCTCCCCCTCCCCCTCTGCCTATTTATTTTTGAATTTTTATGTATTTTTTTTTACATATTGTAAAACAACTGTTATTTGTTTTATTATTTTGTTATGATTCATTAATAATTTTAATTCTTCAAAAAGCCTGTATTAATTGTTAACCCTTGATATTATTTTTTAATTTTTGAAGTACAGTACAGTAATATAATTTATTCACCCATTTAATTGTTCTGTAAAATTTTACATCTGGAGTTAAAAGGGAAACTAATGGTCAAGGGAAAAAAAAGTCTTTTGTGTCATTGAAGTATCCCTCCATGTACATCCTAAAAGCCTTATGGTCAAGTGGTCAGCCTCAATACCCATTATCACCTCAAGCATTGAAGGCCAGCATCAAATTCCTGCCCACTTCTTTTTTTTTATTACTTTTGAAAAAGAAGTTGGCTTAGTTAAACATCTGTCACAAATTCTCCAGAAGATTTTAAGATCTGTTTTCCTGTTTTATTATGCCAAGGACAAAGAAGAAATTGGTGTTTTTATCTCTCCTCTATTATTTGTAATAATTTCCAAATCGGATGCTAAGTAAGATAAAGTTGTAGGAACTGAATGGTCCTCACAAAATATCCATTTTCCTGAAGGTGATAAACATAGTATGAGAGTAAACACACTAATTGAACTGTAAGCCAGCCTGTGTAATTTTTCCTATTCCATTTCAAATAGCTCATAAATTCTTTTGGGGACGAATTGTTGAAACATATGCAAAAACTAATATAATAAGTCCTGATTTATCAGATCTTTTTGTTTTATTTCAACTGGCTCTTTGGATGATTTATAGAAGTTATGAGCTGTTAAACAAATAGTGTCAAACTATTACAGTAGTATATCCTATTACGTGGATTAATTGTTTCGTAGAAGTTATTTTCCAAACTACATCACCATGAAAATATTAATCATTCAAAATTTGTTGGTAATGTGTTACATAAAAATAGAATCTTGAACGAACTTGGCTAAAAATAGCCAAAAATCAATAGTAGACTTTTATTTAATGTGTGTAAATCCTTGCTTTTATAGTATTAATTGTAGTGTCCATGAATCAAGTATATTTATTCCTTCATACATTTCTCATTTCATATCTCCATACATTCTATATTCTTAGTCATTTGGTCCACATGTGCCATAGCTGCACAAGAGCAGGCAACCTCACCAGTTACAGGCACCGTTTATTCAATTCTATTCAGATTGTGTGTTTAGAAGAAAATATCACCAAGAAAAGGTTAATAAAAACAAGAGCGACCGCTCACTGGTCTGCACGTTCCTTCACGCTTAAATATAATACAGGCATATAAGTTATTATGTTGGGTTTTTTGGAAGCGCATAAAATAGAAATTTTTTAAATAATTAGGATGTGTGTTTGTACAAAAAAAAATATTATTTAGAATTTTCATTTGTACAAAATTAAAATATCTTGAAATTGAAAAAAAAAAATTGAATAATCTTAAAATTGAAAAAAAAAAATTTGAATACCAAGGCGCCTTAAGTTCTTTAGAACACATCCTTAACCAACCGCGGCATCCATGTGACCTGCCCATTAGTGGTAATGGCAGTAATGTACAGTCCTTGCTGAAACCCCTGTTTTGTTTTTTAGGTGAAGGGGAACCCTGGGTCCAACTTAAAAAAAAAAGGTGATGAACGTTTTTGGAAATTGCCTCTAGTTTTACAGAACCTCTAGTTTTTTTTGTACTGTATGTGTACAAAATTTCCTGCACGTTTATTCAAATCTGACGATGCTGGACGCTTCTAAAGTTTTGGTAACAACAACAGCAGTAAGGCTCTGGGATCAGCTCCTTGCACATGCCCAACAGTAATATATAATTAACTATTATTATATAATTCATTATTAATCTCTTCTTGATAGAGAGAATCAATGCAGTTAAACGAGTTGAGCAAGTTAAGGCAGAGAACCGTAACCATAGTCAACAATAACGGCACAGGTTTGCGGCTGCCTCACTCCTAGTTCCGGTGGTGGAACAAGTCTTCAAACTATCTCGGCCTCTTTATGTGTCTTTTCACTGCACTGACCTTTCCTTGAATAAATTCTTTAATTCCATACATGTACAGTTGTAATGTCTACATTTCTCATTTTATACAGGATCAGTGTACATTCCAACTTCATGCCTGCCTTCATTCTAATATTTTTTCTTCTTTCCATGCGTTGATTCCTGGATAATCTACAATGCTGTCATTCCATATAAATGCTTACATGCAGGGCTGTAAAAAGTTGGTGGCCCTGGGTCCAGGACTTGAGTATTTTAAGGCTGGGCTAGTAATAAATACATTATTATTATTATTATTATTATTATTGTTATTGTTATTGTTATTATTATTATTAAAACTAGAAAAATATTCAATATCTGATACATAAGGGCTAGCAATTTTTAAAGCAAAACTAGACCTTGATCCAGCAAAAAAAAACCCCTTTTTACAGCTCTGACATGCATTCTCAATCCATGCATTGAA